AGGCATTTGGCCTTCCATCTGTGTGTAGAATGTATATATAAATAAACACCTTTTGTCCAGTTAAGGAAATTTCTCCTAGATACACAAATGTTTTTATATTAAATGGCGTTGGCTTTTTTGTCCTTGAGATAATCATATATTATTTTTCCTTTGCATATTGTAGTGGTTGGTTTTTATATATTGAACACTCTGGCATTTCTGAGATAAATTCCACTTTGTCATAATATATAATCCCCATAACATACTGTTGGATTTAGTTTGTTTTGTTGAGGATTTTTCATCTATATTCATAAGGGATATTGGTCTGTAGTGTTCTTTTCTTTCTTCCTTCTTTACTTTTTCCTGATGCCTTTGGCCTTGGTTTTAGGGTAATTTTGACCTAACAGAATGCACTAGGAAGCCTTTTTCTTCTGGTGTTAATTATTCCTTGAATACTTAGAATTCACTAGTTGGTGAAGTCATATGGTTTTTCTTTGTCTAGAACTTTCTGATTATTGATTAAATCTCTTTTCTTGTTATAAAATTCTCCTAGATTTTTCTGTTCCTTCATTGTGTGTTTCTTGGGATTTGTCTCTTTCAGCTAGGTTATCCAGTGTGTTGGCACACAGTTATAATGTTCTTTTATAATCTTTATTTCTTTAAGTTCTATAGTAATGACCTTACTTTCATTTTTAATTTTAGTAATTTGAGTCTTCACTGTTTTTTGTTTTTGTTTTTGTTTTTTTTATTGAACTCAGGTCCTTGTGCTTGAAAGACAGGCCACCAAACCACTGAGCTAAATCCCTGGCCCCTTCACTGTTTTTTTAATTAGCTAACCTAACTAATTTTGTGATCTTTTCAAAGAACCATTATAGTTTCATTACTTTTATATTCTCTATTTTCTTTATATCTGATCTAAAATCTATTGTTTTCTTCCTTCTACTAGCTCTTGGTTTAGTGTACTCTTATTTTCCTAGTTCTTTAAGGTGTAAAGTTAGGATATTGATTTGAGATTGAAAATATATATATATATATATATTTACACACACATATCCATGTATATATGTAATGTGTATATATATGTGTGTGTGTGTATATATATATGCAGAGAGACTGTTTTTTGAGACAAGGTCTCACTATGTAGTTTGTTTATTTTTTTAGTTCCACTTTTAAACTCACTATGGAGCCCAAGCTTGCATCGAACTCATGATAACCTTCCTGCCTCAGCCTCCCAAGTGCTGGGATTACAGGCATGTGCCACCACAACTAGTTCCTGTCCTTTTTTAATGTGAGCATTTACAGCTACAAGTTTCCGTTGGAGAACTGCTTTGCTGTATCTAGTAAGGGTTGCTATTCTGTGTTTTCCTTTTCACTTATTTCAACACACTGTATATTCTAATTGCCCTTGTGATTGCCCCCCCCCGGCTCATTGGTCATTTTAGAAAATATTGTTCAACTTGCACACATCTGTGAATTTTCCAATTTCCCTTCTAGTCTTGATTTTTAGTTTTATTCCATTGTTATCAGAGGAGACTCTTCATATGATTTGAGTCTTTTAAAATTTAGTGAGACTTGTTCTGTGGCCAATGTATGGGCTAGCTTGGACAGTGATCCATCTGCATCCATCTTCTTCCTGGATCCATCAATGCACTTCTCATAATTTTGAGGACAATTTATGTGAAATGTCTCAATTTCTCCCCTCCCAACTTCTAAGTCTCTTGATATCTTTAACCTTACTCTTTTTCATCTTAAAGGTACAATAGACTCACCTCTCCAGGGAAGACACAGGCTCCTCCTCAGAAATGACAGTTTTCCACAACACTTTAGTGTCCCTCTCTGCCACTGCTTCTGTCTGCTCCAAATTTACTCAGGATACACCTTTCTTTTCTCCTACCCCCATCTCAAAGTTCTGTCCTATATCTCCCCAGCCTGCTCTTCTGAATTTGGAGAAATCAGCTTCCACCCTCCTTAACACCAAACTCATGACATGCTAAATAAAATGGCCCTCTTTATTCTCATTCTTTATAGACGGGTCTAAGCCAGCTCCCTAAGTGAGGAACCCCAAAGTTTCTTCTGATGCTTCACTCTTCTTCAGAATCAGTCTTGTCTTAGTCCTCTCCTCTCTTCCCTAAAGCACTGTTTTCTATACCTTCCCGTGTCTCAAAAATATTCCATGTTTCTTGACTTTCAGAATAAACTTCCACTACACAGGTACCCTTAAAAACTTTCTGCATTCTAATCCCAATGCATCTCTCACCAAGTCCTCTGTGCCAGGTTCTAGGGAAACAAAATGCTGAGTAAGACATCATTTGTGTTTCTAGAAACACATCAGTCAATGAATGAGACACGTGTATATTAAATGTCCGCTGGTTTGACATCCTGACCAGCCCCCCGCCTCCGTGCTCCAAATGCTCCTCCAGTGATTTAGGGGAGTCCTTGAAGGAATGCTTCCTTTGGGCCCCAAAGCAGCAGCCAGCCTGCCAGCTATGAGGCATCCTTCCAATTCCTCGTCTTCTCTTCTGGTTCTAGTCTTCCACGTATACTGCCAGCAGAGCCACCTGGACACTCTGCCAATTCCCAGAACATCAATATCTGTGCCAAGCATGTTGGCCAAGGATACTCCCCTAGAATCAGTGCTGATTCCAAATTGAGCAGAGTGAAAGATCCCTTGCCCTCTGAGCCAGACCATAACACTGAGGGGTGTTTTGAACATTTTTGGCAGCTCCTGATCTTCACCTTCTCTAAAATATAGTCTCAAATCTAGTTTCATTGCTGTTTTGTTTTCACCCTACAGGGAACTCCTCCTACTGTCCCTCCCATCCATGTTTCTTCTCCCTTCTCCTCCACCACAAACTCCTTCCTTCTCCCGCTATACCATGCAAAAATCCCACACTGATGAACAGAGATGCAAAAGTATTGTGGAAAGGAGTATTTAAAAGTGTCATTGCCGAGGAGGAGCCTGTGCCATCCCTGGAAAGGTGGGTCTATTGTGCCTTTAAGGTAAAAAGAATAAGGGTAAAGATATCAAGAGATTTGGGCCAGGGATCTGGCTCAGTGGTTCTGCTGCCGGCCTCGCAAGCACGAGGAGCTGAGTTCGATCCCTGATACCAAGGGTAGGGGGGATTTAGAGGCTGAAAGGAGAGAGATTGGGACATTTCACCACACAAATATAAGCTGAGAAAAAACAGATATTACAGCTCATCCTAGGAGGGTAAATAGGAAATTATTCTACAGAAATGATGGGGAAGGGTGTCTAGGCAGAGGAAACAGCAATGCGTTCTTGGAAGAAGTACAAATAATGGAGCAATTGAAAAGTCCCAATTTTCTCCTGTCGTGTTATTTCTTTGAAGTGTTCCCACAGCCCCCGTATAGCCCTGGTCCGTCATCCTCACTATGCCTGTTCTCACAGAGCCCATGTTGGCATCAACATGGTGCCCATGGAGCTAGAAATTGTACTAAATGCTAAGGATACAGAATAAAATAAGCATAATTCTTCCTCTCAAATTTGTGGAAAAAGAAGAAAAACGACCTTATAGGTATAACAGAGAAAGAAGTACTTGATATCAAAGGTGCAATAGTGGTACAAGAGCAATGCAGACACCAGTCCTGTCCCAGGTCAATGCCTAATCAACCACATCATAACTACTCACTTGCCTGTCACGCTCTCCTACCAGCGGTGAGCCCAGAGGGTCAACAATATTGCTACTTAAAGGGGAACTGATAAATTTTTACTCACTGAATTATAGAACTGAGTGAAGAGTAAAAATAAATGATTTCTTAAACTAATAATTGCAAACTATAAAAGCAAAGGAACTTAAAGGAGTGTGCTAGACAAGGGAGGAACAGTTCGTGCAGAGTCCTCAGGCCACCCGATAAATCCAGACTCTTTACTGAGAAGTATTAATACTCAACGTCCTGAACAGAGAACCCTGGAGTGGGGACTGATGTATATCCATTCACTCCACAGATACTCACCGGATGCCTAGTAGGTGCCAGGCAGTGTTGAAGAGTGTTTACAACAGTGGGAAAGACAGGCAAATATCTTCCCCTTTGTGGGGGCTTACAGTCTACTGGAGAGGAGAAAGAACAAAACAAACTTGTAAATTGTGAAGTATGCTGGGTGACGAGTACCACAGGGAAAAATAAACCCAAAGGCAGCTGGATGATCAGGGTTAGGTGAAGGATGGCAGTGAGGGAAGAGTGGTTACAAAAGACCTGTCTGAGAGGGAGCATTTGCATGAAAGACATTATAGAGGCGAAGCTGTGAGCCCTGTGTCCAGGTGAAGGAAATGCACTGGAGGCAGCGGGAAGTGCAATGATCTGAGGAAGAGCCAGGTAGGCTGAAGCAAAGTGAACGAGGAGCAAGTTACAAAAATTAGACTGAGGAGGATAAAGGGGCCAGATCACTTTGTCCTTATAAATTATTACAATGATTTCGGTTTGGTTTGTTTGTAGTTTTAATTTCTTTTACTAAATACCAAGAGAAAACTGTACCAATCTTCAGTATTAGCTCAATGAATTACTATAAACTGAACAACTGTTTAGTAGACACAGATCAAGACAACGAACATTACAAGAAACCCAAATTCTCCCTCGTATGTTACCTTCTGTACCTCTACTCCTCTCTCCTTCTCAAAGATAGCCACTCCCTTGACTTCTACCAGTATAGATATTTTTTGCCTGATTTTTTGTTTTGGTTTGGTTGTGGTTTTCTTGTTGCTTGGGTTTGTTGTTGTTATACTACCGGGGATTGGTCCCAGTGCCTTCATACCAAGTTACATCCTCTGCTCTTTTTAAAATATTTTCATTTTCAGACAAGTTGCCCAGTCTGGGCTGGAATTTATGATCCTCCTGCTTCATCTTCCCAGAGTGCTAGAATTATAGGTGTATACCACCACACCTGGCTCTATGTCCAACATTCTTAGGCCCTAACATGAGAGATCTTTGCCTGAAGGGAGACTTTGAGGGTGGAGGACAGTTGTCAAGAACAGTTTTGTAACCTTTTCCTTCTGTGTCTACAGGGAATACAGTTTCACAAAGCAGGTCAACCCCAATGGTTGTAAATGGAGTTGTAGGAGAGTCAGTAACTCTTCCCCTAGATTTTCCAGAAGAAGACATCAAGGTGGTCGTCTGGCTTCGCAATACTACAGTTATCACTATCCACATGCCTCCTGGAAGCACAAAGATCCTGAATCCCAATTTCAAATGTAAAGAGGAACTGAACTTCACCCAGTCCTGTTCCTTACATTTCTGCAACCTGACGAAGGCAGACTCAGGACCTTACCAGGCCCAGATAAACTCAAACACCTTTTTCCATTATGTTCTAAGAGTCTTTGGTAAGTCTAAATGCGGGGGGAACTTATATATGAACTAAAAAATACATATTTTAAACGTGTGTGACTACAGATGTGTCTAGTGGTAAAAAAGGATGGTATTTGGAGTCAGAATGAGATCCAGCAGGTAGGCAAATGCAAGAGCACTGTACAGCCAGACAGTGGCAGAGCTGAACAGAGTAGAACCTACATCTTGTGGTTTTCCATTCAAAATCACCTCAGCCCCCTTCATCCGACAACATGGTCCCTTTCAACTAGAAAACTAGCCTGACCTAGTAGAGTGGTCTGTGTACAGAACAACAATCTCCCTAGAGAGTCCAATAAAGAGAAAAGTTGTTGAATTTCTAACAACATCTTCCTCACATGGCTCATGTTGAGGATCACGAGTCAAAAAATCTGCCTCCCTACGATTAAAGAATGAAAATTTTCTCAATGTAAAATTATAGGAACTATAATGAGATCATTTATAAATCTATCTCAGAAACAAAAAAAAGCTAACAATCAATGATGAATGGCTTTAGATAATCACTTCGCAGAAGATTCAAGCATTATTCAAGTTTAAACTGACTATCAGACAAGACAATTTAGAAGACAACTGAAATTCTATAATTCCTACCAAAGATCCTGAAAGGGCTAAAACGCATTTGGATTAAGAGATGGTATTCAAAAAATAAAAATGAAAATAAACATCTACACTTTTGGGTTACTTGTTAACCTTTAGCATCCCTGGAATATTTGATGAGTTTACCATTGTTAGATTAGTCAGTGTCATGTCCTTGAAAAAATATGGCTTCAAGGCATGTGTTCATTCTCTGTAGCTGCCAAAACAAAATACCACAGGCTTCATGGCCTAAAACAACAAAAATTTATTATTTTAAGGTTCTGGGAACAAAAAGTCCAAAATCAAGGTATAATAAGGCTGCACTCCCTTTGGAGACCCTAGAAGCCTATCTGCACTTTGCCTCTCCCAGCTTCTGGTTGCTGTCAGCATTCCTACATGATCCTTGACTTGTGGCTCCAGTCTCTGTCTGTGTCACGTTGCCTCTTATCTTCTCTGTGCTTTCTTCTCTGCGGTCTGTCTCAAATATCCCTCTGCTTTTCTCTTATAGGAGAACTTGTCATTGGATTTAGGGGCCATCCAGATAACCCAGGATGATTTCATCTAATTTAATTTCTTTTACAAAGATCCTTTATCCAAACAAGGTAATATTCACAGAGTCTGAAATTTAAGACATGGACATATCCTTGAGGGGATCATCCGTCAAGTGAGTACAGGAGGGTCATCAGGCTGATCAGTGATCGTCAAGACAGTGCTGGGATACTGAAAAGAAATGAGACACATACAGTAGAAAGACTGAGAACAGACGCCATACCGGGCAGCATCCCATTTGAAGAGACAGTGTCCTTCTGACACTACTGAGAAGATGGGACGCGACTTCTCCTGCAACAACTGCTCTCTTGAATCAATGCCAATCCCTTTTGAGAGCTTTTTGGAGTATCTGTCCTTCAGAGCCACACATACAATGGGGTGCATAAGCTACATCGAATTGTTTTACAACAATGCAAAGAAATTTCAAAGGATGAAATATATTGGTTTCTGTTTTTAAAACACTGACCAATCACTCTGTATGCACCAGCAAAAAAATGGTAAAGATTCAATTTTATAGACTAATGCCAATTAATTATGAATTATTGACTAGAATTTGGTCTTAAGAAAGATGTTGAATACGTATTGAGTTTATGCATTAAGTCAACAATATTTGTTGTCCATGGCTAATGTACAGTATGAGGCACTCTTCTAGATACTTGGCATACATCAGGCATGCATCACAGAGCTGATATTCTGGTTGAAGTATGGAGACAGGTAATAAATAGGAGGGATAATTTATAAAAAATAAGACAGTATGTTCAAAGAAGCCATGAGTTATATGGAAACAGACACAGAGAGATTAGTACAGTCTAAGGCACATCAAGAGTGCCAGGAAGCAGGGTTCACTTCTAAAAGGAGTGGTCAGACTAGGCCTCATGGAAAACAACGTGTGAGCCAAGATCTGCTGCAATAAGAAAGTGAACTGTGAGGACACCTAGAGAAAAAGCCATCAGCACAGGTGCCTGGCACACTTAAGAAATATCAAGGAGGCCAACATCAAGGAGCAGAGTGAAAGAGGTAGCAACAGGAAATTAGATCAAAGAGGAAATAGAGAGCTGCATTGTGTCAGGCTCTGAAAGCCACAGCAGAAATTTGGCTTCTAGTCTCAGAGAGATTGACATCCATTGCAGAGTTCTATGAGGGATAATATGATTCAAATTACTTGTTTAAAGGATGCCATAGGCTATTTTGTTGAGAAACTAGTGAACCAACAGATCAGTTAGGAGGTCATTGCAATAATACAGGCAAGAGTTGCTGCTGGCCTGGACCATCAGAACAGATTGAAATCTGGCTATATTTTGAAGGTAAAGTCACCTGGACTTCTTGCGGGAGTGTGAGATGACAAGATGGATCACAGATGACTCTGGGATTTTGGCCTGAAAAGAATATACTTGTCATTCACTAAAGTGGGAAAGCCTACGTATAGACTGAGCAGGTTTTGAACAGAAACACAGAAGTCCTTGTTAATATGTTGAATTTAAAGCTAGATATGGTGACACATGCCTATAATCTCACCACTCTGAAGGCTGAGGCAGAAGGATTGCAAATTAGAGTCCATTCTGGGTAATTGTGAGACTTAGTGAGATCCTATCCTAAAATTTAAAAATAGCTCAGTGTGAAGGCCCTGGGTTCAGTCCTTAGGACTGGAAAGAAAAAAGTTGAGTTTGTGAGTTTGAGATATATCCAAGTAGAAATTTCAAGCAGACAGTTATATATTTATTAAGTGGGGCAAGGTAATGATGTAGATTTTTGAGGTCAGCCAGGGACATGGAATGAGATATGGAATTTGTACCAAATATTTGCCATCTCTGTTAGGCACTGTCTCATTTAATCTTCATAATTACCTGAAAAAGTATGTATCATTGCTTGATTTTTCCAGATAAGGAAATCCATTCTTAGAGATAGTAGCAATTTGTCCATGGTCATGCAGCCAGTTAATGATAAAGTCAAGATCCTATCCCAGATTTCCCCGACTCCAAATCCAATACTCTTTGCATACACACAAACTCCATTGTAAGTAGGTTATACATAATTCCTCAAGTGCTACTCAGTTGATTAAGTTTAGAGCATTACTCGGTCTCTTCAATTCAGACAGTTCTTTGTTGGGTCATCTTACCTCCACCCTCAGACCCAGGTAAGGTCAGGGGTGTTTGGCTGTCTTGCTCTCACATCCCCATTGCTTCACAGCTACTGACATTCTTCTTGACAGCATTTTCCAGTCTTTGGTCTCAGAAATTTCTGCATACTGTCATCTTAAACGGCTGAATATAATCGCATCTCTGTGCTCCCCAGCATTGCCTGCTTGCTCTTGCCTCAGAGCCACCAGCCTAATCTCTACACAAGGGGCAGTGTCCAAGCACTAAAAAGTACCCCCCCAAATCAATGCCCAGAAAGTTAAAGTGCCAACCCCAAATTACCCAGAGAGCTGGTGGCAGCCCAGGTTCTCCCTTCTCATTTCTCCCGTTGGTTACTTTTTCTCATACTGAAGTCCCTTCATTGGGTTGCTCCAGATCTTACTACCAACAATTAGGCAGCACAGGCAGAGTTTTTACGGAGCATACAGACCGTGGCGCAGCAGAGCTGGAGTACAAAGCACAGATGTGAAGGATCCAGACCATTTGTCCTGAACCTCAGTCTCTCCTCTGTATACAGAACGACTGCACAATTTACAAGTGTCCCACCATGTTCACCTGTCTGGGAATGGACTCTGTGAGATCAACCTGACTTGCTCTGTGGAGAACCCAAATGAGGCTGTCTCATTTGGGTGGCAGGTCTCAGAAACTACCTCTCTAAGTGAACCAAACCTCACTGTCTTCTGGGATCCCGAGAATTCCAGTGATGAGAGCTACATGTGCATAGCAGAGAACCCTGTCAGCAATTTATCTTGCCCAGTCTCTGCCAAGAGTCTCTGCAAAGGTAATAGTTGTCCTCAGGTCTCTCTGAGAGCCTTGAACAGCTGTGGGGTGTGGCACAACCTCACACGCTCCCTGATTCCCAGTGGCAGTGGGAGACGGCCACACAGGGGCTAGGAAACTAGAAAACTCCTCTGGAGTTCTGTGCCTCTCACTCTTCCCGCAGAGGTTTCTCCTTTCTTCCTCCTCCTCCTCCTCCTCCTCATTCCCTCTTCCAAGAACAAAGGCTTGAGGAAGGCAAGATGGCTTTCCCCACCCCCACCCCATCTCTACCAAGCCCCACCCTGCCTGGCTGCCACACAAACTGCCACTCCCCAGAGAGACTTTGCCAGAGCCCCAAAACTCTGGATAAGAACCACCCAGCCAGCCCCTGCAGGTAACCTAGCAGGGGCTCAGTGGAGGCCCTGGAAAAAAACACTCCGGGCTTTACCCAGATGTAATTTCTGATGTGTCAAGAAATCCCACTTCTGTTTTCTCTTTTCAGATATTTTAACTAAAGAAAATCTATACTGGAATGATCTACTCTGGATTATAATCTGTGGGATACTTATAATCATCATTGTGTTGATACTTGCTTGCAGGAAAAGAACAGGCAGGTTTTCTTCCTTCCTTCTTGTCTCTCCTCCCGGGTTTCAGATTTGCAATCTGTGGCCTCTGATTGGCCAGGATCTGTCATGGAAGACAGGTGAAGGGAGGGAGGATGCAAACCTTGGCTCAGCTTGCCCATTGGGGTGACCTCCAGGGTGTGACTATACCTCTGCTAATATCCTAATGGAAGCATCCTGGGAAAAGAGGGACCCAGCTCAGGGCCATTGGTCACCCTTACCCACATTCTCTACAGAACCCCCTGGGGAGGGAGGTCAAAGGTCTCTCTCACTGCAGTCACACATTTTGATGACCTGATCTTATTTTTCAGGATCCCTTCATTTGCTTACTCAGCAAACTCAGCATCCTGGTGAGCAACCAGACTCTTATGTGCAATCATAGAGCAGGCAGAAAAAGCCAAATGAAAGAGCGAAGTGGCTAAAGAGAGGACTGGATGAGAGAAGAGAGTCAGAATGTCACTATTCAGAGGGATCCCATGGTGCAAAAGGAGATGACTTGTGACTGTGAGAACTGCAGGGTCCTTCACAGAGTTTCTCATAACAAAGTCAGGGTTGTTCCCCTTCCTTCCAATGAAGAAAATAAATACAGTGAAAAGGCTTGTGGTCTGTCCATCGCCACCCAGCAAATCCAAGGCAGGGGATGAGATCTGATTATCAAAGGGCAAAAGCCAAAACTGCCTGACTTCATCACTCTTGTTTGGCCAAGATGTGGGCGGTGGAAGACACACTGTGATTCAGAGATGAACAACGAAGTGTGGGAAAAAAAATATGGGTTTGAGATGTTGTCCCATCATTTTCTGTGTGACTTTACACAAGTCACTTGAGCTTTCTGAGCCAGAAGCTCTTCATCCCTAAATTAATCAGATCCACCCTAAGAGCTTCTGAAAGTTAATGATGTCCGTACAGAGGCTGATTGGCTGCTTTATTCTTGTTGGGTCCCCAGCTCTTTTGTCAACAGTGGTACTTGGTCCTCCATGTGTAGAGCCTGAGGAAGACACTGAAGCTTCAGGGCACCTCAAGACCACCCCCCGCCAGGGGGCGATGTCAGAAGTAGCCCGCATGACTGTGGACACTCTGGTTCAACCCAGAGAGCAAAGACTGTCAAAAACATGAATGACCCCTAAGGAAGAGCCAGGCTTGGAACAACTGCCTCTTTGGGGAGGGAAAATGCTCTGGGAAAGACGCAGAGCTGGGGGAGGAGTCCCAGAGTGCTGTTGCTAATGATGCCTTTTATGTTCACAGCAGAGACATCAGAGGACATAGAGCTTGCTTCCATCTCTCCAGGGAGCACTGTGTATGCGCAGGTCACTCATCCATACCGGGTAGGTCCTTTACACTCCATTGTTGTTTCTATTCTTACCATGACTATCCACAGACTGGTCTCTACAGTCATCTGACTGATCCCGGTGATATCCACTAGTGAGGGGAGAGAAAGGAAGCGACAGAGGCTGCAAAGCTATATGCAGACCACTCTGGGGTCCCATTGGTCACCCTTAAGGGCATGAGTGTTTCTTCTCACTTTCTGTCATTCTCTATCTGCTTGGGAAGCTGTAGCTCTTGTCCTTGCAGTGTAGTTGTGTACATTAGATCTTCCTCTCTCTTCTCCTACTATGACACCCAATAAATATTAGCAGAATGGATCAGAGTTCCCCTAAGTTTGAGGGTTTCCACAGGACAGGGTGCCAGAGCAGGGGGCTTCTCATGCTGGAGTGAAGAGCTTTGGGGTAGCTTAGAAGCAGTCTCTCAAGAGTGGAAAAAGGCTGAAAACTCACAGCTTCTCCACAATAGGAGGCATGAAAGCCATAAGCAGCCCTCACTCCTCCCCTCTCCTCTAGCAACACAACAGGCTGCCCTGTGACGGCTTGTTACTGATCAAGCACCAGGAACGTCTCTGTCACTTCTCCATCCCCACCACCCCTAAATAGAGCACTTGTGGTGGCATGTCCTAAATAATACCATACAGTACATTCTGTGAGGTCAGTTCCAATGTCTTCTGAAAAACAGACCAAGAAAACAGCATTGTGAAAGTGATGCAAGCCATAACCCAGGTAGAAATCTTTACTTCCCAGACCAAATCCTCCTAGCTCAGCCCCTTGCTGGCATCTGTGAAGTGGGCACCTTGAAACAGGAACAAGAGATACCATCACGTGCCCATTCCTGTTGAAGGCAAACTGAGTCACTTCCAACAAATCAAAAGACTAATCTCTAGCCAACTTGTTAGTTTTTCCTTCAGGAAAACAAACAAACAAAAACTATACTTTGGAGAGTTTCTGAGGTCTTGATAATTCTCTATCTTTTCATTAATTTGAAGGGTCAAAATTTACGAGCAGGATCTTAAAAGTGCATGAGGACTTCTGTTTATAATCACACTGCACACTCAAGACAGAGCCATTCTGAAGGCCAGATGTCTGCCAGTTCCTGATGCTTGACCTCAATGACATGGTGACCAGAGAGAAAGACAGGGATAGGAGGAGCAGGAAAAGTGGGCAGCACGAGCTGGAACTAGTAAAAAACCCAGGACAAAAGATATAATGCAACAATCGTCTGGTATACAAGATAGTTCTTAAAAATAAAGGGAACAGCGTAGTTGGAAGCAGGACAAGAGTGCTTCCCTCACAGCCTTCTCGTCTCTCTTTGGTTCTCAAGCCCTCTGTTTCACCCAGCTGTTGCTCTTTTGTTTGGGGCTTAAAAAATACCACAAAAGTTTTGCAGGGCTGAGCTGGTGGCGCTTGGTCTCTACCTCCTGTTACTAAACATTCTGGCCTCCCTCTCAAAAAACTTGGATGTGTTTCCTTTTGTCACATTGCTTTCCCAAGAAATACGACAGCCAGAGATTTGGCTCAGTGTTGCCACTGCCTGCCTCGAAAGCGCAAGGTCCTGAGTTCAAGAAAGAAAGAAAGAGCGAGAGAGAGAAAGAGATGTATGTGCATATGCATGTGTGTATATGTATATATTACATATATTTATGAATCTCTTGTCTGTGTGAATCAAATGTATACTATTCTTTTTACAGGAAATGGAAATCCTAACACATATAAAAAGCAGTGATTCTGTTACAATCTATTCCACAATTAATCATTCCAAACAGGTAAAACTATAATTTTTCCATTTCTTATATTCTTACCTCTCCCAGACATATTATTTTTCTAAATAAATATAAGTAAAGAGTCCCTTTTACAAATGCTCAGATTCTGTGGCAAGGGGGATGCAGAAAGTCTCAGAACATCCTCAAACCATACCCAAGAAGTAGGATTATCAACCATAACTGAGTTTTTAACCTATTTGATTTAAATTTCATCTTGCCTCATGCTATCAGTATCCTTAATATCTGCCTGTTGGGGCTCTCCCATCATCTCTCCATAGCCATGAAGGGATGGCTAAGGTTCTGGTCTCTATTAACCTATTTTATTTTCCTCTTGTTCCTATAGAATAAGCCCACTTCTCCCAGAGCAACTGCACTTTAACACCATCAAGTTGCAGATAAGCTTCAAAGAAATTTAGGAATGATGGGTCTCCTGATACCATGGAAGACAAAAAAAAAAGAAGAAGAAGAAGAAGAAACTTGGTTTTTTGCCTAATAACAGAATCTGAATCCCAGGCAGGATCACCACATCCAGTCTTCAGTCTTGAGCCTGTTTACTAGGCCAAACACTTAAGGAGTAACATCACCTCCAGGATATGAACCAAGTAATGATTTCCAGTTGACTCCAGGACAACGCGTGCTTTGTAACACACCTGCAAAATGACTTTCTCTTTGATAACTGAACGCAGTTATGGCTGACAGATTATAATCCAGCAGGTAACCGTGTCTCAAATTTTAGAGAACAGCAGGATGTGGCTCACTCAAGAGAAGATATACTGCACTGGTTATGTATGCAGTGTGTGGAGGTGGGTGGACCCACGCTGATTTTCTGATAATCATTTCCTAGATACATCTTCTGAGATACATTACCCAAAATCTTGGAGCATTAGTCTCACAGACTCAAAAAAGAAAAAACACAAAAAGCAGATGACTATAAATCGGCTCCACTACTCAAGCCAGAAATCTAAGTCATCCTTGACTACAACTTCTCCATCGCCAGGCCCTTTGGACTTTAATTATAAAATATATCTTGGACCCCATCCTTTTCTCTGCAACTTTTTGACCACCATCATCTACCAAACCATCACCATTTCTAACCTGGAAGACCACAATGACTTCTGAACAACTCCTTATTTTGCTCTCATCTCCCTCCAACCCATTCTCCACAAGACGGCCAGAGTAATGTTTTTAATATAAATCAGATCCTTCATTTGCCTGCTTACAATCCTGCAGGCTTCCTGCTGCATTCGGAGTGAAATCCAGTATCCAAATCGTGGACTAACTGCTCCCACAACCCTGTTCTCTATGTATTTTCCCTGACCTTTCAGCTCCTCTAAGAGAGAAACAGCTCCTCTGTTACAGTGATTTTACATCTGCCTTAAGACCCTTCCTCTGGCTGCTGGGTTCCTCCTATTCTCTAGGTCTCAGTTTAAATATGTCAGCTTCCATGAGAGACCTTCACAGGCCACTCAATCTAAAGTGAACATCCTTATTCTGTTACATCACCCATGTCATTTATCACATCATTAAATATTTATTTTCATTTGTGTAAGGTCAAGTTCTCTCTGTACTATAAGCTCTTCAGAAGCAGAGATGATGACTGTTTTATTACCATAACCCCAACATCCAGCACATTGCAAGTGTTCAGCAAAAATTTTTAATAAATAAATGAATATGTAATGGATTTTTTGAGAATTAAATAAGACAATACCACTGGCCCTTTGTAATTGTGGATTTTATCTCTGTGTATTCGATCTACTGTGGATTGAAAATATCTTTTAAAAACCACATTTGCACCAAATGTGTACTTTTTTTCTTCTCATTATTCCCTAAACAATACAATATAATAACTGTTTACATTGCATTGGGTACTATAAAAATCTAGAGATTAATTAAAGAGCACGTGAAGATGGGTGTAGGTTGCATACAAATGCTATCCCATCTTCTATAAGGGACTGGTATATGCAGGGGTCCTAGAACCAATCTCCCAGGGTTACTAAGGGATCACTGTATATACCTGAAGCCTACAAGGTAGTGCCTGGCACATGAAAGAACTCAAAATATGATAATCACCATTGTGGCGTTAATACTGGTATTATTGTTTTTACTAGAGTTCATTCTCCTAAGCTCACAGAATCTTCTTACAACAAGAAAGGAGAAAGGACACTTCTGTCCTGGCCTGCCTTCATGCCATTTCCTTAACCCAAGTTTTCAAATTCTATTCTCCTTTCTTTCTTTCTTTCTTTTTCTTTTCTTTCTTCTCAAGATAGGGTCTCTTTGTGTAGTTCAGGCTGACCTTGAACTCACTATATAGTTCAGGTCAAATTCTAGTCTTTTACCTCATATTAAAAAAAATGATGTTCTTGGTATTTAGTTCAGTGGTTTCGCTGCCTGCCTCACAAGCACAAGGTATGGGGTTCGATCTCTGGTACTAATAATAATTATAATAATATAATAATAATAATAATAATGTTCCTCTTTCCCTAGAAAGTTTTCCTCAATTTTTATGAATATATATATATGTATATGCATATATATTTTAGTATGTTTTGTCACAAAAATAAGATATATGTTCACTTGAAGTAATTCAAGCAATCCACAACAAAAATCCACTACAATCACCAAGATAACTACCATTAACAGTTCCACAGTAATTAATGAGCCAAGAAGTGACTGTTTAGACTTCCTTTTCACACAACTTTTAAGATTTTCTTGTAGTTGATAATTGCCTCATTTTCCCTTTGTTTTCACTGAACACCTATCTTCTTACATCCTCCATTAGCTCTATAAAAGTGATTCTCAATATAACTTTGTAAGACTAATAAGTCTGTTAAATAATGTATCAGCTTGTCTCTTCTAAAGACCTCCCTATGCAGCGTCTGACCTCCTATTGCTGTACTTTCTTTCTTCCTTTCTAGAAACTTCGAAGTCTCCTTGCTGACTAATCTGCAGGATCAGTGAAGACTGGAGCTAAGGAAGACTCAGATCTGGGTGGTTCCTCACCCTCTGAGGTTCATGTCCCTCTCACCTGAAGTAACTATTCCTACTGCCTTAATACCATGCACATGCTAATGAGCATCTTTTTTGGTTTGTTTGGGATTTTTTGGTTTGGGGTTTTTTTTCAATTAATTTTATTGGTACATTTAATATATGCAATATAATGGCACTCACTGTTGGAAATTTGTATCTTTACGGAATCAATCTTGTTTCTTATTTTTCCCCATTCCCCTGTCCTCCCTTCAACCCCTCCACCCCTCCCTATCTACAAAGACTGTTTCCATTATTTTTCATTTTCTCATATTAATTCCATTCCCTTCTTTCCTTTCCTCTACCCCTCCCACTTCCCCTTCCCCTTTGCCCCTTTTCTTCCGACTTCACATTATCTATTATACCTTTCAGCCCTTATTGACACTTTCAGTTTCTCACACCAGAGAAACTATTCAGTATTTACACATGTGTCCTATTTATATCACCTAAGAGTATCATGGTCTCCGTGTAGCCCAGGCTGGCCTTGAGCTCACAGAGATCCTCCTGCCTCAGAGTCCCAAGTCCTAGGATTACAGGTGTATGCTGGCTCCCAGTTTTTCTCTTTAGCCCTTGACTCCTGGCTTATATCACTAATTGTTCACTTAGCACTTCCACTTGCCCAGTAGAGATATCCAAAAACATTTTAATCAAAACTTTCCATTTCTCTCTCCAAGCTTTTTCTTCTACCATTCTTCCCCATATTAGGCAATGGCACCATTGTTTTTGGATACTCTTGATCATTCTCCTTTCTAAGCTGAGAGATCATCCAGTACTTGCCACATAATTAAATAGATTTAACTGTCATGTTGTTCTGAAGGTAAATACATTAAGACCCCAATCCCCAAACATAAACTGCATTTGCAAGCAAGGTACAAACATTTATTACTTATAAAATTCCTACCAAAAAATTTTTTAACTTGTTCTTTAATATTCTTATTATCAAAAGAGGAAACTACACCCCATTACGTCTGTTGCAGAAGAAGGCTGCAAGAGAATGTCCTGGGGAGGTAAAGAAAAGGAATAAAGGTCCTCTCCCCATTTAAACAGTGCCAGTCATATGCACTGCGCAGTCAAAAACCTTTGGGCAGGCCTGAGAGACCCCTGCTCACATCACTGCTGCGTCCTCCACAGCAGGTCCTCACTCAGCTCCTAGAATAATCCAAACTTTCCTTTCTTCTGTACCTTACACATTCAGTTCTTTCTGGAATCTCTAGACACACACACACACACACACACACACACACACACACACACACACACACACAGGTTAATCCCTGCCTGTTCTTCTTTAGGCCCCAACTTCAACAACATCACTTCTGCGGAGAAGCCCTCTCTGACATATCTTCCTCCCTGCCTGCAAGGTTGGCCCTCCCAGCTATGGGGTCTTGCACAGCCCTGTATTTCTCTAGCCATTTATTAAAATAGTAACAATAAGCACTTTCATAATCGCTCTGTGTGTAGATATCAATTTATATCTCTACTGGAAACCTAAGTTCGGGGAGAATAGGGACTGTGTCCCCAGAATCTCAGATGGTACCCGGTCCATCGAAAGGCGCAGTCATTATTGTTGAATGAATGAACAAGCAAGAAATAGGAAGAAAGTGTAGTGGACGGGGAAGAGAAGAGAATTTAAAGACTTAAAGACCTGGGTCCAGAATGGATCCATTTGCATTGTTAGAATATAAAAAACATTGGCGAATACTGGGAAAATCAGAAGAGGTTCCTGCTACACAAACAGGGACAAGTCTTCGAAGGATACACACCAGGACAGCAAACCTTAAGCTCTGATCACAATGCCCTGATCTGCTGTTGAAAACTCAAATTTGAAATTAGTCCTTTCCTTCTCCCTTCTACTCCCCATACACACTGATCTTTTCTCCCTCGGCTCCTATCTGACCACCTTTAATTTACTCTCCCTAGATCCATGAAGTCCTTACAACTCTTTAAGCACCTTCTTCCCTAGGTTTCCACTCTGCTGGCCAATATCCAAAGGATTCCCTGTTGCCATCCTCGTTTCCCAGTGACTACCTGGGAAAGCCCATAACCTGTAAAGCCCATAAGAGAAAAACCACAGAACGGTATAACACACCCCAAATCCACTGCGCTTCTCCTCAGTCTTCCATTACATTCCATGATACTTTACTGCCTCACCTATTCCAAACTCTCCGTGCTTTACGTATTCTCCATCATCCTATACTGTCGCTTATGCAGTGGTTCTTAACCCTGGGGATAATTTGAAACCTTTGGGGGCAGAGTTCAACTTGCAGAGATACAGGAGGGACTTTAATTGGTCCAGGCTGGAGCTCAGGCAACAGTAGTCTTTAGTTCCTCAGGTGAACCCCATGTACTTAATTACAGAAACATTCAATTTGGCATGCATATTGCATGGAATTTCTCTTTAAGATTAAATCAATCTGGGCCATGGATTTAGCTCAGCGGTTCCACCGCCTGCCTTGCAAGCACAAGGTCCTGAGTTCGATCCCCGGTACCAAACATAAAACAAAGATTAGATTAACCCTCTCAGTGAAGTTTTGTACTTATCCTAGGGTAAGTAAGACAAAACTGAGGACATCTCTGTGGATTTGAGAAACTGTACTAGAGTTGAAATAC